TAACAAATAACAACCAAGAGTATAAATAAAAATATCAAAGAACAATATTTGTATTTACTTAAGGAAATGTAAACATAATCACTTTAGAATTATTATTGTATCGAATAAATCAACATTTAATTCATTACTCGCTATAGTGATACACTCTATGAGGTTGACAGAGGTTATGATATGTAATCATATTATGAAGTTTTTATTAATAATGTGGGACAAGAATGAGACAGATATAAATGCCATTAACATTTATTACCTAGTTAGAGAAACTCAAGTCAAGATATGATTTCGGATTATTTGTTTACAGCGTTAAGTTATTTTTTATACAGTGTATAATTGTCTTTAAAGCGTTTAGTAAGATTAGTGTTTCTAAGTGCTCAAGTGATTCAATAAAACCGAATTACTAATGGTTTCATAGAATTGAACAATAATCGTGTATTGGTCTGACAAGTGTGACAAAATGTTTTGAGACAATTTTCATCTTCGAACTATTTTGTGTTCCTAGTAAAACACCAAAATTTCTTAATTTTTTAATTTTTTAAAAGAAAAGCAGAAGGTTTGACTGAAATATGACACCAAAATCTCTAACATAGTTAACGTATTCAAGGTGAACATCGAAAATAGCGTTCTTTCTACTTACCTATTTATTCTTAAGTTGTTCAGTAGATACCTAGGACGAAAGATATTTCAACGCATTTAGATGTTATATTGAATTGAATCGGTTTTTATTATGCCAATACGACGAGACGCTAGAGTATATCTTTATGTCATCAGAAAATATTATGATGACAGAATTTATTAAAACAAGAACTTATACCCATGATACACACAACAAACGATAAAGACGATTATTTTGTATTTTATATTTTGTATTTACATTAGTATTATCGCAGTCATTTAAAAGTTATTGCAAAAACAAATTATGTACACAGTATTAAAGCTACGCTCATATACTATTTTACTAACCATATTAGGTTCTTTTTTTTTCATGTCATCAAATGTAGTCTTATTCATTTCTTTAATGCTGCATTGTATTTCATTCTTGGCGAACAATGAAAACATTTTTATTGACATTTGATAATTGATTTATAATGGTTCATCTAGTACTATGTGTTGGTTCACTTATAAGATTGTACAAACAATATACTATTACCAATGTATATGATATATCACTCGGTGTTTTTTTTTTTTTTTTTTTTGTAGTCCATATCATGGCTTGACCAATGTCCACTATACCCACGATAATAATATTATTGGTTGGCAGTAATCAGATTACTGACGAATGCCACGTGTGAATAATATTTGTTTTAATTTTTGCCATTAATTTTAACGACGTATATCGTATAATATGTCACTCGATTTCTATGATACGTACACGATTTCATTGCACACTTATTAGACGTGTGTAGTCGCACTGTTACACAATTTCTCAATTCTACTTTGTAGGTCCCTAATCAATATTGTTCCGTCCACTTGTCAACATCCATATAGTACACCAAATGGTATATTGGAGTGCAAACGGTKAATACACATAATGTAATAACAAATATTTTCACAGAAATGTAAACGTGTAAAAAAATAATTATCATACAACTATGATATTATTATAATTATTATTATGAGAAACCCATGCCATCACATCATTCGAGAACCATAATTTACGGCGAATAAAAATAATCCACATAGGTACCTATAACGAACTATATACCATAATTATTGATTTTTTTTTTTTGTAAGTCATAACAGTGTTGGGTGGTTGAGAACTAAGGAAGACTCATATAAAAGTATGTTTATTGACTAATTTTCGTGAATAGAAAAACTTATTTTTTTTTTTTAACTTAATTTTTTGGAAAATAAAGCCTTGATATTATACCTATTACTCATAATCGACCACCTATTCAACCCTGCTGCAGCGTGCACCATTCTGTCGTTGAAGACTATAATTAATTCGGTGTAAACCGGGCAAAAAAATCTCGCCACCCCCCACCCCCCTTCTAAGGTATCTGCGTCAGATTTTCCTATTTTTTATACCGCCGTTGTAGCATATTATTACAGTTCACCGTAAATACAATTACCTTGCCGTTTGCTCGTGCCGGTCCCGCGTTCTTGGCGTGGCTCTGCGTGCCGGACATTTAAAAGAAAGAAATAAGTGGCACAACACCACCGCGGATAAAATTCGTGTATTCCGCCGCGTGTCATAACAGGTGGTCGGAGAAGGAGTGGCATAATAACACTACCTAAATATAGTAGTTATATACCATGGTTATACACCCATCACGCGCTGAGGACCTCGACGCGAGACCGGTAGCAAGACGGTAGCGTTTTACGATTTTACCATGGCTTAGTGTTCTTTAAGGACGCCGCCGCGGCGCACCGGATTGATAACGCCGTTGCGCAGCGAATGTGCCCACACACACACACACACACCGTGGCCGGCAGCGACGTTTATGCGTTTATATTTTTTTTTACCCGTTTTTACCACTTGTCAAAATCTACCGAATATTAATGTGAGAAATTCGAAAAATGATTCAATCACCATAATAATCTATTAATATATGATAATATATAATGTTACTATGACGTGTGTTCGTATATGTAATCTAATTATAATACTATTCTGCAGTATCGGAATATTTTAAATTCATACAATTCTACTATTCTACAGCACTTTTGACAAAATATGTTTGTGAGTGAACTAAACCAGAGGTCCAGAAATTACCTATACAATGGTGTACACGAAGTGATTTTTTTTTAAATTACAAATTAAACATTGAAGAATCTACCCTAAAATCGAAATACTACAGTCTCTTCAAAGTACCACCAAAAATAGATATTCGATCTTGACAGGCGCTACATGAAACGCTTTGTATTCCACCAAAAAAAGTTTTCGCCAAAAAAAGATAATTATTCTGAAACATCTATAAATTATTGAAAATTACCTATTTCTTTGCTTCGTAATGAATCTAAAATTACGAAAATTTCTCATTGTAATTTAATTTCAACAAAATCAACCTTTATATATCTTCATATAAAAATATTTTATATTTTAATTTTTAAACTTTATGATAATTATATAATAGCACGGTCGTACCTATAACCATTTTGTAATTATGAAATATTGCTTACCTTTATTTTTGAAGTGTTTTTATTTCATGATATAAGTTCTTGTAGTCGTAATCTGTAACAGTAGTAATATCAAATATTAAATATTGTATAATAGTTAATATTCATAACATGATATGATGCAATTTTAAACTATTATAATAAATATCATATATTTTGTAAAAGATTATATTTAATCATGAACATTTTTTGAAACTCATATGTCATAATGTTTACATTTCTATTTTCTTTTTACCCTCGTGGTTGACACAATTTTTAAAATATTTATACATATACTATTTTTCGCATTATTAATCATCAACACATATTATTAAATACTAATATAGATCTTTCTGATAAAAATCGAATTGTGTAAAACATTCTAAAGTAAAAAAGGTTCATAATAGTAGATACAACGTTGTGAAAATACTTTTAAAAATATAAACCAATAATCGTTAGATTTGTGATTATCTTGTAATATATTTTTTTAGTTGAAGAAATATTAACGTATTGACGTATTATGTATTACAAAACATGATACTCAATTGTTATTTTTTACTAATTATAATGTTGTAGAAAATAAATTACTTCAATATTTAGTAAAATTATGTAATTTGGGTATTCGAAGTTATTCAAAATGTATGTAGGTAGTCTACCTAAGGTATATCATACTTATAAAATTGTTTGCCAATGGCTATGAAATTATCATTACTTAAACTATATTATACGCACAGTAAATGGTTTCATTCTTAATCTAAAAGTACATGATGTATATATATAGGTCAATGATTTCAAGTTTAAATATATATTTTTTTAGGATTTGGTTATAATTAATAATGATATATCTGAAGGTCATATTAAATCACGGTGTTCGATACACTTGAAACTGCTTAAAATGGAACATAATAAAAAGAGGGTGTTTGTAAAAAATAATTATAGATATTTCTGTACCCTATGTTATAATATACAAGGTGATCCTTTTAAGGTATATACAATCATAATATTTTAAAGTCTTAATTTGTTAAAATATTTGTCATAGCATAAAAACATTGGAAAAATAAATTAAATATCTTAACAATTTTAATCAATATAATTTTATAATTTTTTGCTTTTGTGAATGATAACATGATAAATTTTTATATATAGTGAATATATAATAGTGTTCAGAATTTTTTTCATAAATATAAATCAAATGTTAAACAAGTAAATTCGTTAAAGTATTTAAAGTTTAGGTGAATGAAGTAAAGTGATATAGAAGTACTTCGCTATACATATGGTTACTATAGTTTATTAGTAAACTTAATTACTTAAGTATTTAAAGATTTGATGAAAAGATTTACTCATCAAAACTTTAAATAGTTTTAAGTTATAACGCAAATTAAAGTTTAATCTTTATATATTAAAGAAAAATATTTCGTTTCAGAGTATAAATTGAAAAAAAAAAATACTAAAATTAGATTACGATGATCAATTATGAAGAATGTTGTGAAAAATGATAGAAAAAATTTATTAATTTCAAATACTTAAAATTAATATAAATATGAATGATAATATATATAGAGTTTTTCCAGTGTCTACGATTGATGTAATTTGAATTAGGTACATAGAAAAACAAAAATCATTTGATCACAAAATTGTTGTTTTGAGATGACCTACACTTAAATTTATCGTTTTATACTTTAATAATGAATATTAATTATATGATTCTAATTTATTAAAACAGTTATTCTACATCACTTAATTATGTTGGAAAAAATAATATGTTGAACTTTTTTTCTTCAAGTATCTACCTACGTATGAAATGCATTTTTATTCATTGAACGTTTCTCTCACGTATTCATAATGTAATATGTTTCCAATGATGGTTCATGCGTGAAATAATATAAAAATCGGTTCATGAAACTTGGGTGGTAAAATATAAAATGATATGTCATATGTATTCAAATTCATATAAACCGTACTATAATATTACAGTTACATAGGTACATACATTTTAGAATATGAATACAGAAATAATATTATATTATACAGTAAGAAAATTATTATTAATTAAAATAGTTAAAAAAAAATATAAAAATAATCATATAATTTATATGAGAACCGCGGTAGGTAACGAAAAAGAGCTAACAGTATCCGTACCAATTATGTAATTGTTACAAGCGTAGGGACAGTATAACCGCGTTTTTAGCGTTTGCATATTATTATTATGTTATTCATATAATTACGATATTAAAACAAGATCGCCCATTTGTGCAACATGTAGTAATCGCATACATAATAAAGAGTATTACAATTTCGTTGCTCAGGCGCATGAAATAATAAATTTAGAGAAAGTTAAATGCATTTTAGTTTTGTGTCCGTAAAAACCGCACACAACGCAAAAGCCCACTTGGCCGAGTAAAATTTAATTCTCTGTACCTATCTACCTACCAAGTTTATAATATGCTATTATTATTAATATTATTACACGTTCGTTATTATGGATTTCTAGAACGCTGGACAAATGCTGTACACATTTCGAAACATTATTAGTCTTGACTCTATAAAATCTATTTATCTCCATTATTTGAATCTCGCGTTTTTGAAATATTAATTTAACTTATCGAAACTTTAACGTCAACATTGTGTAATGTTATAACATTATAATATTGTGTTCGCTAGATAAACGCATGACCGAACAATGTCTTAACGTCAGTGAACGTGTATGTACTACAAGACACTCTCGTATATACAATAAAAATGACTGCACGCGGCGAATGAGATCCGAATCGCTATAGAAACGTTATAAGACGATATTGGTGCAACGATTCTTAAAACAATAACATTCATACGTGCTATAATGTGTTAATTAAAATTATAGTTGTATAGTATTATTTACATAACTACATGTCACACGTCGACAGCGTAAAACCATTACAATATATATTCAATAACTATTCAACAATGTACACATAATATCCCGTTACCTACAACTGCTATGATATAATATTTGCAATAAATATGGATCACAAGACAAGAATCTGATAGTCGAATATTATACTGTTATTCTTTTATTTTTTGCTTTACGTTGTTTGGTCAAAACTTCCTTTAAACATATAAATACCGTCGTATAAACGTATGCAAATAAACCCAACCGATCCACCTTATGATACCACACACACACACACACACAGATTAATTACCATATTTTATTTTTTTGACAGATTAAATTTCAAACAACGTTTTATTTATATATTTCACTACCGGGATCTTTTCAAATAGGATTATTTTGAAAATATCATTTTTTTCATAATCGATTTTAAAAAACAGACTTTTGAAAATATTTTAGGATATTATTGCAATTTTAGTATCTACATTTTTTATCGTACATTGTTATATAAAACTCGTGGATCTCTATTTTGATTCGTAATTAATTAAAATTGTTTTGGAGTTAATACTGAGACTCAAAATAAAATCCTATATAATAAAATAGTATAATATATGCGGGATTTGGATAGAGTCATTCGGAAACGTTAAAGGTGTAGGTATATGGGTAACTATGTTATAACTGATGTAATAGATGGATATGAACATGTTGAATACATAGAAATGCCCCGAGTGAATGCAAGCTGTCATCTCCGGAATCTAATCATGTTATTTGGCCCAGGAAATGAGTTTAAAAAAGGACGATGGCACAAGAGGAGTTTTGGACTAAATATGCTGAAAAAAAAAATGCAATTTCACGTTAGTTCTCCCTCGGTGTATTGTTGACTTCGGAATGAATCGCGTACCTACTGATGGATTTAGTCCCATTATTTACATTGTTAAAAATGGTATGGGTAAAATATATGGCATATTATATATATATATGACACTCAAATAATAATATGACACGGAATTTATTATTTTCCGCACAAGCTGTTTTCAAAATACATACTTATTTTTGTTTTAATAACCAACACAATTTTAAGATAATTATTTTTTTTCGCATCATAAGTAATGCGTAGTCGATTTCGTAGTTTTACTGACGGACTTGTTCTCTAAGACCAAACAATAAAATATAATTATAATGTATGTAGTCTTTAAGGATAATATATATATATATATATATATACCTACTGTTGTCTATTTGAACATGACAATGAATAAAGTTAATCAACATAATATGTGAAAATAATCACAGATTATTACTCAGAATATTATACTCTGCATTTTTAAATTGTAATATTCGACAGTCACATAATTCGTTTAAAAAATATATATATATCGTAAATAAATAAAATACAAAGAAGGTAGAATAGTATTCTCACATTTATGTTTTTTTTTTTTTAAATTAATTCCCTTTAAAATTAAATTTAACAACACAAAATTATTTTAGCCAAACATAAAAGACTAAAGAGTCGTTACATGTTTGTAAAAGGGAAAAAACACAATGTGCTGTTTTCCTTAAGAAACGATAAGCTGACTAATTCCAACAACAAAAAAAAAAACGAAAMAAAATCAAAATGTCTATCTCATCTGTGTTATCAATTTATTATCTTTTGGGGTCCATTGCGATTATCGTAAATTTGTWAATGTTGACATTTTGTTTTAAGAATATAGAGGTAGCCTAGAATAACATTCATTGAATAATAAATGAGTTTCGGTCAATSTGTTGCCGAACTACGTGTCGCATATACCGTGACAAGTCGCCGTGATATGGGTAAAAGTTGACACACTGTCGCGCATGATACCCGAGAAGGCTGTTTAAGTGACCCGGTGGTGGCACTTCTAATTACAAGCTATTTCTGTTGGAATTCAGCTGTGAAAACTAGTAATTATGTTATTAAATCTCGCGGTCGCTGTAAATTGGATATGCAGGCACCTACAACAATCTAAATACCTCGTRACTTCTCTTAGTGTAAAATAATGTCGTTTTTGTGCGCGAGCGGAAGTTCTAGCTTTATATTAAAACAATGAAATACAATGACGTATAGAAACGATGAATGAACAGCTACACATAATTATATTATATTCAAAGTAACAAAAAAAAATGATAATTTATTTTAATATGTATGATATTATTGCTATAGTTACGGCCAATTATCTAAATAATGT